TTTCAGAAAGCAGACACTCCAAACTTTTGTAGTGTCAAAAAGGCAGACAAGACAAACTTTTGTAGGCTCAAAAAGTGGACACTACAAATTGTTGTAGTCTCAAAAAAGCAGACACTACAACTTTTGTAGTCTTGAAAACCAGACAATACAAACTTTTGTAGTCTCAAATAGCAGACACTACAAACTTTTGTAGTCCAAAAAAAGGGGACACTACAACTTTTGTAGTCTAAAATAGCAGACAATAGAAACTTTTGTAGTCTAAAAAAAGGGGACACTAGAAACTTATGTTAGTAAAATTTGTAATCTATTTCCGACATTTTGTAGTCTTTTGTAGTCTTTTAGTAAACTTTAAACTTTGTAAGGTATGTCCAACTTTTGTAGTCTTTTGTAGTCTATCAGTGGTCCTTATAGTCTATGTCAGACTTTTTGTAGCCTTTTGCAGGCTATCCATGTCAATTTCCCTTTTGAGGTATGCACCTTCCTTTTTGGCACAATTTTCCCACAATATGATAATTGTAGCCTCTTCTCCTGGATTCCTAAATGTGTTGAAATCATCTTGTTTGGTTTTGTTTTCATGGAGAAAAATGCAAAAAATGCAAAAAAAGCTGGTGATGAGAAAAATATTTTACCTCATATCTCTACAATGAAAGCACTTTACAACATAATTTAAACAGATTCAGGAAGCTACAGTGCAGGACTACAATTTTTGTTTTTAACCATTTTAGGCAACTGGTCATGTGACCATTCTCCTGATGACCCACCTGACAGCAGCCAATGAAAACGGCTGGCCTGCAATGAAAAGCTACCAATGAAAATACCAGCAGCAATGAAAAGCGGTCAATGAAAAGAGCTGGCCTGCAATGAAAAGTCTACAATGAAATATCCTGGCCTGCAATGAAAAGCTACCAATGAAAATACCAGCAGCAATGAAAAGCAGTCAATGAAAAGAGCTGGCCTGCAATGAAAAGTATCCAATGAAATATCCTAGCCTGCAATGAAAAGTGGTCAATGAGAAAGGCTGGCCTGCAATGAAAAGTAGCCAATGAAAATCCTAGAGAGCAATGAAAAGCTACCAATGAAATATCCTGGCCTGCAATGAAAAGCACCCAATGAAAATGCCAGCAGCAATGAAAAGTGGATAATGAAAAGGGCTGGCCAGCAATGAAAAGTGGTCAATGAAAATGGCTGGACTGCAATGAAAAGCAGTTAATGATAAGTTGTGACCTGCAATGAAAAGTTATTGAAATGCACAAGGCCTCTTATGAAAAAAATCCTTATCATAAAAGGGCCTGGGATATATATGATATACTTTTCATAAAAGTATGTGGAGCTATGCACAAGGCCTTCCTGGCCTAGGCCATGGTTTTATGATTTGGATGGTAAGCACCACTCGGTTGCGTGCCCTGCATGTCCGATTCCAGATGTCAATATACCTGAGGATTGGAAAGAGGCCCTGCTGGAATTAAAGTCAGTATCTCCGTGTCTGTCCTGTACGTACTTCTCAATGAGAAATAGGTTTCTTTACCTCCTGATTGTGGCGTTGGACACCAACTTCCGCCTGAAAAACTTGATGCGATCAAGTATTGCAAGGGATCCGGGTTTACATACAGGCCTCGCATACTTCCCTGATGACGAACCATATCGGAAGCACATCTTGAAGTACGCGTCCCAAAAAGATGTAAGTCACCTCGATACTATCTGACTGCCAGGAGGTCTGACATGGCTGTACAGATAAGCACTTGCAGCGGCTTCAAGACCCTAGCTCATGCAGAAACGAAGTTCTCAGGAGGAATGCTCTCAACCGGTGTGGGTATGTGCATCTGTGCTCGACATGAATTTGTTTGAGCGAATGGGGTTGGCGACCTCCAGAAAGGTGAAAGGTAGGTTCTCAGGCCAACCCTGCATGTCATGTGATGCTCATCGTTTCCTTCAGGTTTTGCAATATGGACTACATCCTGCTAGGTGCACTTGCACCAATCACATTGCTCGCCGTCTTCGTCTCCTACGACATTGCCTGTCAATTCAAGCTCAAGTTCCGTGACCGAATGGCCGAGTTGCCTAAGGACATCCAGATCCCTGACAATGTTTCCATGGACTGGGGCATCCCTAAGTGCCATTGCCCGATGCATAAGGTGCCTTGTCAGGCACCACATTCTTTGAATTTGAAATCAGGGGTTGGTCGAACAGATGGGGAAGGCATTGAGCGGAGCTGGGCAGAAATGAACCTGGTAGCAAATAGTACTAAAGAGATGGGACCGGGCTCGCGACATGACACCCTCGACGACCACTTCGGACATCACAACTGGCGGAAGAAAGTTCGTTTGGGTACGCTTGATGAACTCTCTCGATAGGTATAAGTTTGCACACGCGGTTACTCTTGGCGATACCCGAGCAGAAACAGCAACAGAAAATTTTTGAAGATTTCTCTGCGTCCCTGCGAGATCAGGAATTCGTGCCAAAATGGACGAAAATGGTGAAGGAGTGGGAAAAGGACGCATCAAAGCCAAACCCCTACCTGTCGGTCATTGCTAGTAAGTTCGTTCGTTGCTTCCCCACGTGCTAAGTTGTTGATTGGTTGGTAGATGCTTCTCAAGACGACGTGAAGCGGCAGTTGCTATTGGAGGAGAAGGAGTCATTGAAGGCGGGCATCCTGCAAATCCACGACACAGGTCCCACATTGTTCATCACGATGGGCCTTTTAGTCGAAGACACTCAGTACGTGGATTTGATGTATAGCCAGGACCTCGCTAACTCATTTATTGTACATAGACGTCAGATTGCATGGGATGCTCGGGCTGAAGAAGAACTCACGTTGAGCCAGGGCAACGACATCCACCGGCGGCGGCTACTCCTACACCGACAGCTGAAACAATTCCGCAACCTGCAGGCAGTGTACATGCCCATGGCATCATTAATGATGGCCCAGCATGACGAAGCACAGAAAGCCCTGCAAGTTGAAGAATGCTCTCGAGACGAAGTCGAGTTTCAATTACTCTGGCTGCCTTCTGCTCTGCCCAACGATCACAGACTCCACAACTGCCGTGGAAACCTTGTGGACATCGAAACGAAACTACGCCAAGCCCAGTGCCATGACACACTAGAGAAGATTCGAAGCCTGCAACGCGGCCGCCTATCCTTCATCGGTTTCCGCAACCACAACATTCGTGGCCAAAACCCTAACACCAGAGCCTCAGAAACCATCACGCGAGTTGAAACGAAGTGCATGGCCCTCGCTGTCAAGTATCGTGAAGCGCGAGCGGCATTGTTCAAGCTAATAGGGCCAGGGACCTGGGAGAACGAGCTGAGGGAACTGTCGCACAAGGACTTGACCACCCCAGATGGGACCGAGATCAGCATCAAAGATTCCAACGACGTAATTGGGCCCGACGGCCGGCAAGTCAGCAAAAAGAAGAGAAAGATAATTGAGCAAAATTTGGGCGAAGGTTACCGCTCTGTGTCGTGGATTTGGATGCGTGCGCCGGTAACGGGGGATGAATCAGATGCAGTGCTGCATGAAGGTAAGTGGACACTGTTTTGTATGTTCCTCGAGGCTGATATTCTTTTGTTACAGCTGTGAGGATAGAGTGGGCAAAGGCACGAGCACGGTATCTTCGCTGGTCCAAAGAGGTGCAGCTGTTGAAAGAGGAGATGAGGAGAGTCCGAAAAACCCTAGACTGGGAGGCTAGACAGTGGGAGGGTCGTACAGAGTCTTGGACAGTCGACGCTGCTGTAACAGAAGGTATCAAGGGTTATGCTACGCACCAGGCGCAGGTGCGGAGAGATTTGCTCGCCCATTTTACGAGGATGTGGGACAAGCCACTGGTTCCTGTGGTGAATGACGAGGACAGCGGGGAGGCCCCTCTCATGGCCCTGGACCCTAGTCTTGAGATGTTGGTGGAGGAGGAGGATTGAGATCTCGGAATGCGACTTTGTGCACGATCGGGCTTTTCAGGCAAGAAAGTATTCTTTTTCGCTTATTTATATCTATTTACCAGTCACTTCTAGCTGATCTGGTCTTTGCCAGATCTCGTCATCCGAACATGGCATGTCGCATCCAGCTGTTCTTGGTGGAAAGAAGTGGGGGAATATGACTTGATGCATTCAATTATATCTGTAGATTTGTTTTCCGATGTTTTGTGTTTTGCTGAACAGAGAAATTTTGTGTTTTGCCTACTTTTATATATTTGAAGGGAAATAAGAGACTATTTATATATGTTTACCAAAAGCCCACCCCAACAAATCCTAGCCCAAACCCAGGGTGCCAATGCATGCTGCAGACCCCTAGCTGGAATGCAGGGTTTATGGCATGGGATTAGATACAATGATGTGGGTGATTAGGGCAATGACTACAGCTAGGGGTGACAGGTAAGCGGCGTATTGGCATAACTAGCATATGGCGATGTGCTTGAGCCATCCGAAACCCAGCCACTCCCCTGGAAAACCATCTTCCCGCTCTTGTGTCGAGCCCAGAGTTCGTCTCCTCCCTATTTTGATCTGTCCGACTTGAGCTCTGCATACTTTGATGGCGACGATCCCTGGCATTTGGTCTGTGCCGCTCACTGCGCGTGTGGTTATTCGGATGGTGTACCCATGCAAACGAATACTCCCCGATGACACCGACACAGCAGAGGAGGAGCTGGAGGAAGGCTGTGATCCGTTGGTGTCGTGTTATTGCGAGTGATTCTAGATCGAATTTGAAGAAGATGCCTGAAGTGCCTTGGTTATGTATGCTGCATTATGCAGACGTAGTGCATTACATCATATTGATGTGTTTGGAGGGGCACGGAACAAGGGGCAAAGTAGGTTGTCAGGACGATGTGTGCTACCAAACCTGTTTTGGGAGGGAGGTTAGGTGGGGCATTGGAGAGAGAGAGAAGACGTACCTACATTGGTGTGTGAATTCGAAAGATTCGTCCAATGGTTGGGTAGTGTCGGGGAAAATGGGAACGAAGAGGAGCCAGAGGTTCATCTCTAACGGCAATGTAAGCCTGGATGTTGGGGAAGAGTGAATGACGTACAAATATGTTTATGGCTGGCATAACCATGGTCAAGGGTGGTGATGTGAAGAATATGTCATAATTCAGGCAGTCCCAATTCATCACACAGTGGGAGATATCTCAACAGGGATTACTCCAGGTAACATACCTCGTTCATTCCCAGATTCATTATTTAAAAGACTTTTTCAACTACCAACCCAGCTCAGTACGTAGTGTTTGGAAGTCCGGTCTCATGACTGGAAAAAGACCGTAACCAGACTGGACCAAGACCACAAAAGACCGGACCTGCAGTTACGGTCTTTTATTTTTGAGATGTAAAGACTGCAAAAAAACCAATTAATGTGAACTGGTCTTGACCGGTTTGGAACAGTCTTTTGTAGCCCCTTAAATACCCTTTAAAACGCACCCAAGAACGTAGACCTGTGACAGGTCCTATCATGTGTGTAAACTCACGATTCTAGGACCTGTAAAGCAGGTATTGCCGGCTCGTGTCGCGCGCCATGATCGAAAGTGGGGCTTTCGCACATCACCGAAGTTCCGTAAATAGTAAAAGAGCTCAAATAGGAAGGTGTATTTTGGCAAGGACCACAACAGAGAATGTCGACAACCACTGCTCTTTCACTCCTCGTCCCATTGCTGGCTTTATAAAATGCCTCCAAAGGCATCTTTTCGAGTAAAACTTCCTCCACAACAACAAGAAAATGCGCCTCTGCAACCACCGACAACCACGAGCTTCGCCTTACCTGAAACCTTGGCAGAACAAAAGCTTCAGCGGAAATCACAACAAGGGTCCAGCTCCAATGGCTTGCACGTTCGAAATTGTTCGAAAGACCCACCTTTCCAAATGGGACTTCAACATGCCGGCCACTAGCGCTCAGTCAAGTCAGAGTTCGACGACCGTTGCTTATGGGATGCCAACCCCCCAGATGCTGTTGAGTCTGCCGGACATGGATGTCACAATGGAGACTGAGGCGCACATGGATAGGGGAGGATATGCTGCTTGGGATGAGCCTTTTCCATTGTAATTATACCCCTAGACATATATCGTTTGAACAGATATTCTTATATGTGGTTAGAACACCAGCCCCAGAATACACTCTCCATTCTCCCATTTCACTTGTCTCGAATCCCACTGAAGGCTCCTACACAGCATGAATCTGAAGCAGCCGAGGCCCTGCTCAGCTTGTTTTCTTCTCGTCTTGAGAGCCTTGTCCAGCCAAATGAATACTACAAAATGGATGTCGCATCCAAAAGTCCTCTACCAAAATACACCTTCCTATTTGAGCTCTTTTACTATTTACGGAACTTCGGTGATGTGTGAAGGGCCCACTTTCGATCATAGTGCGCGACACGAGCCGGCATTACCCGGTTTTCCAGTCCTTATATCGAGGGTTTCCTCATATAAGGACTGGTCACAAGTCTACCAAGAATGTACGATTTGGTAAAAAAAACGAGAGAGATATGAATTAAAATGTAATTTACTTTTGGGAATAATAGATGTACCAGACTTATTTTATAGAAGCACCAATTCATAACGGAATTTGACGTTCTTGGGCTCGTTTTGAAGCTAATAGCGATGTTGATAAATTTACCGATTCATAATTTTAAAATATTAGCCTAAGGACCGGTCATAAACCGGTTAAAACCGATGCAGACCGAAACCGGTCTATAGACCGCAAAAAGACCGCAGACCATGGTTTTTTGCAGTCCGGTCTGGTCTTTTGACTTCTGGGGAAAAGGCAGACCGATTACGGTTACGGTTAATGCCCCTGGGTATCAAAAAACCGGACCGAACCGGACTTTCAAACACTATCAGTACGCTTGCTCATCAATAGGCTATTCTTATTGCAATCGCTCACCTATCCTCACGCTAGTGGATTTTATGGTTCCTCTCATCGAAAGGCAATGAACACTTCTGCGAAGTAGACAAGAACTTTATCCTTGACCAATTCAACTTGACAGGTCTAAACAATGAGGTCGCGAATTACTCGCAGGCCCTCGATCTTATCACTGATAACCTAGGTAAGTCTTCCCCCTCACCCACATTCGTTCAGTTCATTGACAGATCACGCCAGACGACGACATCCAAGACAAACTCCGGAGCTCACTCGACGTCCAAGCACGCCTCTTATACGGCCTCATACACGCCCAATGGATAGTCACAGCCTGCGGCCTCTCCAAAATGGTTCGTCCCCCTGCCCCTTCTCTCCCTCCAGCCATCTAATCTCCAACCCAGCTTGAAAAATACAAACGAGCTGACTTCGGTCGCTGCCCACGTGTCCTCTGCCTCCAACAACCCCTCCTCCCCATAGGCCTAACTGGTATCCCCTACGAAAAATCCGTAAAACTCTACTGCAGCCGTTGCAAAGACCTCTACTTACCCAAATCATCCCGACATGGCTCCATCAATGGTGTGTATTTCAGAACCACCTTCCCCCATCTACTCTTCCTTGTCTATCCAACCTTGATCCCCCCAAAGAGCGGTCCGGTGGAACTGGGAAGGGATGCGGCGGGTGCGGGAGGGGCAGGCACGGCAGATGGGGGTAGGATGAGGAGGAGGGTGAGGGAGGAGCAGGTGGAGGTTAGTGCGGCTGAGGGGGGAGGCCAGGGGATTAATACCGTGAGTGCCACCCTCAAGGCAGATTGGTATAAACCGAGGATATATGGGTTCCAGGTTAATGAGATTGCCAAGCTGCAGCGGTGGCAGGAGGCCGTGAGGGATCGGTGAGTTGTGTTTGATGGGTAGCGTGATAGGAATGCTTACCCTTCCTACCAGGCAAGTGGGTCAACTCGAAGCGCTCGAGGAGAGGACACCATAATATGACAATGTTTTCTCTTTTTTTACCCTTCTTTCACCAATGTGCAGTCCCCCAGACTCCCATTCTAACCTGCTGTGTTAATAATTAATGGGGGCATGTACTTGATCACCTCTTGCTTAATTGACCAGATATCATGCTGGCTTTTGGAAAGCTCACTGCTGGATTTTGTTATACATGGCATCTGGAAGATGTTTCTGCCTGTTAAAGCAACTCCCACCATAACCCCTCTACATTCATACAGATGTACCTACTGGTGGTGACTAGCCTGAAGTCCCATCCTTACCCCCTTATTCTTCCGAGATATAACACAGATATTAACAGCTGCCAATTGACAATCTCTATTGTGAGTTGGGTGAAATTGTTATTAGGCAGTGGAGTTGCAAGTGTTGTATACTATCTTCAGGGGATAGCTCAAGGTAATATTAGTACTTGTATATAAGAACTGTTGAAGGTTGGCAAATGCATAAAGCCAAGAGTACCAAGTTGCCAAACACACCTCCAGCTCTGTTCTGATGATCACAGCCAGTGGATGGTCTGTGGCTGCAAAATCACAGAACTTTGAGCAGCAGCTGACAAGAAGATGAGGAGGGCTAGGCCATAGAATGGATGACACAACCATTGTACTTACACCCAATATCAGGTAATTCTTTCAATTCAACCTGGAATTTCTTCTCTGATAGCCTTAAACTTGTTGCACTAAGTCCATTATATTGCACTAAATACTACATTCAAGAGACATGAGTATTGCAAAGCTGAACAAGTCAAAATAAAGCAAAATTAATTGTGAAACATATCCAACATTCATCATCAGTATGATGAAATTTGTTCAGTTATGAAGTTATATCTATGTATCCTGTATTTTAGTTATGCATCAGAGTAGAGAGATGTGGAAAAATACCATAGGTTTGAAAAGACATGAGGAGTCATCAGGACTGAGCTGTGTTACCTCTCTTCTTATGAATTCCAAGTGACAGCTTGGGTATAAAATTTGAGATTCTCTTGGCAATGTTGAAAAAGAGGTGACCTGGGAATATGAGCATCAAAAATATGAAAAAGCAAGTAGCAGCTCAACTAAATACCTTTCTTTTCAGAATGAATGATTGCATCATCCAGATTAGTGGTAGGTGGAAGAGTAGCTGGAGCCCCCACCAGAACTCTGTTGCTGGCATGTGGAAATTCATTGTCCACATTTCCCTCCTCCATATCTTGGGTCACAGAAACGCCATGGCCTGTATTGTGAACTTGGTTCTCTGCATCATCCATCTTTGTGGACTGACTCATGGTTTTCTGTGTTGCTGCTAAATTCTGTGTGGCTATGATTGTGTGTGGGTGGTCTTCTCCATAAACCTTTCTCCTAGCATCCAGAACTTGGACCTCCAGCTGCTCTGCTTCTGTATATTTTCCCAGGTCTCTGTATGTTGATGCAAGATTTCCCATGGCTAACATTGTGTCTGGGTGTTCTTCTCCAAGAATTTTCTTACTGGCATCCAGAGCTTGGATCTGCAGCTTCTCTGCTTCTGTATATTTTCCCAGGTCTCTGTATGTTAATGCAAGATTTCCCATGGCTAACATTGTGTCTGGGTGTTCTTCTCCAAGAATTTTCTTACTGGCATCCAGAGCTTGGATCTGCAGCTTCTCTGCTTCTGTATATTTTCCCAGGTCTCTGTATGTTAATGCAAGATTTCCCATGGCTAACATTGTGTCTGGGTGTTCTTCTCCAAGAATTTTCTTACTGGCATCCAGAGCTTGGATCTGCAGCTTCTCTGCTTCTATATATTTTCCCAGGTCTCTGTATGTTATGCAAGATTTCCCATGGCAGAGATTGTGCCTGGGTGTTCTTCTCCAAGAATTTTCTTTCTCGCATCCAGAACTTGGACCCCCAGCTTCTCTGCTTCTGTATGTTTTCCAAGGTCTCTGTATGTTGATGCAAGATTTCCCATGGCTAAGATTGTGTGTGGGTGTTCTTCTCCAAGAATTTTCTTACTGGCATCCAGAACTTGGACCCCCAGCTTCTCTGCTTCTGTATGTTTTCCCAGGTCTCTGTATGTTAATGCAAGACTTCCAATGGCTAAGATTGTGTCTGGGTGTTCTTCTCCAAGAATTTTCTTCCTGGCATCCAGAACTTGGATCTGCAACTTCTCTGCTTCACTTGA